AATCCTATTCTCATAATAATAACTCAACCCAAATCTCTAATTCTATTTCAGAAATCATATCCAAAATAACAAAACAAACAGACCCATAATGTTCTATTATAGGGGTATATTATATTAACAGAAAGGAAGATCATCTTAAAGATTACTGTGAATGTTTAGAAGATGTGTTTGGTTGGTTCAAATAAATTAGTGAATAATATGTTTGGTTGGGAGGATAAATGGATGGGTATGTTATACAGGTTACTAAATTGCTCTCATTTTTAAATATTAATATAACAGTATTTTTTATTATTATTTTTTTGAATAATTTTTTTAACCCCCTACATTTGAAATTTTGCTAAAACACCCCAACCATATAAAACTTTAATTTACAGCAAAATCACCCCCCCGCCCCAAGCCACTGCCGGCAACCCGCCACCACTGCCGATCGCTACCGACAGTCGACGAAATGCCGCACAACTGGCCGTATATGGTTGGTCGTGCACTGGCAAAGCCGGAACCGAAAAACGGCCATATCTATGGCCATTTGATGGCCAAATATGTGGTTGTTTCACGGCCACAGATCTGGCCGTGAAAAGGCCAAATCTTTGGTTATGCCATTTCATAGCCAAAGATCTGGCCGTGAAGAAACACCAAATTTAGTCGTTTTTTGTCATGGATCTATAATCCATTGGCCGAAAAAGGCCTTACCGATGCACAACCGGTCAGATCATGCCGATCGTGCACCATTACGTCGACTAATGTTGGTGGCCGGTGGTAGTGAGTCACGACAGGCGATGGTCTTGGCTAGCTAGGGTTATTTTGTTAACTTTTAAACTTTTTTGTGGTTAGGGTGTTTTAGCTAATTTCTCAAATGGAGGGGGGTTGGGTAATTATTATTTGGTAGACATTTAAGGACAATTGTGTCTGAAATGATTTTTAATTAAGGGCAAAATTGCTAGAAATATCATATTACCTCGGTAATGTTTTAATAACACACCCTAGCAAGGTAATAAGATTACCCCCCATATTACCAACAGTAACCACTATTTGTAATAAAAGATTCCTGTAATATCTTACTACTTGCAAACCAAACATAAGAGTCTTGTAAAATAAACGAAGATTACCCCCGTTATCTTATTTACCCCCGATCTAAACGACCCCTAAGAGGTATGCATGGTTTCCCTCCTAAAGTTGTTTACTAGATTGAGGTTTACATTAAAACGTCTATGTTTTCTATTGCCATCAATGGGGAGTTGGGAGGTTTTTGTGGTAGCTCTAGAGGGTTGAGGCAAGGGAAACCAATCTCACCGCATCTTTTTGTGATGGTTATGGAAGTTCTCTCTCAAATCCTTGGGAAAGTAGCTAAGGATCCTAGTTTCAAATTCCACCTGAGGTGTAATGTAGAAAACATCACATATCTTTGCTTTGCGGATGATCTCATGATATTTTGTAATGGGGACATGTTATCTATTGGGTTAATTAAGCAAGCTTTGGGAACTTTCAAGGAATGGTCGAGGTTGGAGGCTAACTCTAGTAAGAGCAACTTGTTTTGTTCTGGTGTCTCAAAAGAGGAAAAAGAGAATATTTTGCAGGTTATCAACTTTAGAGAAGGAAATTTCCCCATCCGGTATTTGGGCGTCCCTCTTAGTACAAGTACATTGAAGTATGTTGATTGCAAAGTTCTTATTAACAAAACACTTGCAAGGATTAATTCTTAGAGAAGCAAGTTTTTGTCTTATGCAGGATGAGTCATTCTCATCAAAGTTATTTTGTGGAGCATCCAACTTTTTTGGTCCTCAATTTTCATCCTTCCCTCGAGAGTGCACAAGGAAATTGAGGCCTCCCTTAGGGCTTTCTTATGGTTTAGGTGGGGGATTTGAAGAAAACTAAAACAAAGATTGCTTGGGAAGATGTATGTGTTCCAAAGGAAGAAGGGGGTTTACGGATTATGAGAACTAAGGAATGAAACAAGACAACTATAATGAGGCAGATTGGGAACATTGCCCAAATTAATCCCTCCTTGGGATGGGTCTTGGATCAAAACTTATCTATTTAAGAACAAGAGTATTTGGGAAATTCTCATTCCCCATGATTGCTCTTGGACTTAGAGGAGCATCCTTAAGCTTAGAGGTGAGGCTAGGTTGAGAATCAAGTGCGAGATTGGTGATGGGAGACATATTCGGCTTTGGCATGATAATTGGCACAATATTGGCCCGCTTGCCCTCAAATATCGTCCTCGGATTATTTATGAATTCAGTTTATCTACTGATGCTTGAATTGGTAAGATTTGCGATCGAGGTGAGTGAAAATTGTCAATTGCAAGCTCTTGGGTGTTGTTGGAAATGAAAAAATTGGTTAATTTCAATCCTACCATGAGGGAGGATAGAATTGTTTGGATCCCTTCTATGACCAAGGGTTTCTCTATTAGTTCAGCATGGAATGAAATAAGGATGAGGAAAGCTAAGTTTGATTGGTCTCATCTTGTGTGGTTCACGAAATCCATTCCAAGACATACTATTATTCTTTGCATGGCTGGAAGCTCAACACAAAGGATAAGCTTGAGAGGTATGGCATTTCACATAACTCTTGTTGTTTTTGTAATTCGGCCAAAGAAACCTTGGATCATCTCTTTTTCTCTTGCCCTTCTCTAAGTCTATTTGGAGTCGGACCCTTGCCATTAGTTCTATGGGCTATAAGGCGGTGCCTTGGAATGTTTATATTCATGGCTTATCCTTAAAATGGAAAAGAAATAAGCTCAAGTATTTTTTGGCAAAGTCGTGTTTCAGTGCCACTATCTATTGGATTTTGAGGGAAATAAAAAATAAGGTGTTTGGAGTGGAGTGTAAAGATGCACTAACCATCCACAATATCATTAGGTTAGTAGTAAGGGATAAGGCCGTGGAGCTAAGGAAAATGAAAAGGACCATGGGAAATAGAAGCCTTGCGTAAATTTGGGGGTTACCGGTGTCTATTTTTTATGGGTGATCACTCTGGGTTTTGTGGTCTTGGTGGTGGTGGGACTTTAGGACAAACTTGTTATTAAGGTTCTTTGTCTAGCATAGGGGGGCTATGTGGGTAAAGGTGGTTTTTTTTTTTTTTTTTTTTTTTTTTTGTCCCTATTGGGCATTGTCTTTTAACTTTCTTTGATGTTCCTCACCTGGGATATGTCCCGAGGTAGTGTTATACATAGTCTTGTAAAGGCTAATTTTTTTGGTCTTCACCAAGGGTTGTCGTAGGTAGGTGGCCGCCTTTTATAGGCTTTTGTACATTCTTTTTTTTTTTTTCTAATGAAAGTTACTTAACACAAAAAAAAAAAAAAAAAAAAAAAAAAGGTTCCAAAACGACACTTTCCCACCCACCATTATGTTCGGTTAGAAAATCTGTTACTATTTGGCTATAAAGACGAAAATATCTTTTATTATTTGACTTAATAATCCATTTATTATTTTATGTAATGTAAATAGATTCAATTACCAATATACCCACTCATTAAATATAAAATTATTGATATACCCTCAACTATTCATGAGAACTAAATTACCAATTTATCCTTTTAATTTTTTTATTAAAAATAATTTAATGGAATTTAATAAAAATTTATATACAATTTTTTTTTCACAAACTCATAAAATACAAGATATTCCAACTTCCAACAAACACATTAAAATTTTCAAGCACATTAAAAACTGAATCTGGGACTCCAAGATATATATAAAAATAGATATTTTAAAATGGGCTTTGTTTTAAATAATCAAATAGATCCATAAAATTATGAATATCAATAGGGAAAACTTCAGCTAGAAACATTATCTTAAAGTTTTCCATTTTTTGGATTAATAACCTGTGCATTGTTAAAGACACCTCAATTATTCAAGTGTTGTCTATTTGAATTTGTTAATTTGTGCAGGGCGTGTATTAAACTTGCTAGGAAATAATGATAAATAAACTTTTTTTTTTTCTTTAATACCTTTACCAATAAATGAATTTAGTTGGGTCTAATCTAATTTTCAAATGTGTGCATGCCAGGGGATGGGGGAGGGGTAGTCATGTGCGCGTAGGAAGGCTGGGGGCTCGCGCAATGGGCGCTAGGTAGGGTTTTTTGTCGAACGGGTGGTGGGCGACTTGGCAAGGTAACTGTGTGAAGGGATTAGATGTGGCCGAAATCATCCAAATCTTCCACAAAGCAGAAATAAAAAAACAACACTTCAAAATCAAATCAAACTACACAAAATCAACAAAACAATCCACTTTCAACCGTCAAACACAAATTTCTCCAAACAGCAGCGGCAAAGGCAAGGCTATGGTTGCAAGATGATGAGGAACGATCGGTGGGGGACGATAGGGTGGATGGAGGTAGCGGCGAATGGCGAGGGGGTTGGATGCGACTGCTCGTAGTCGTAAGGTTGCGCAACTGCGAAGGAGAGAGGAGGTCTTTGAGGCAGAAGCTTGGTAGAGTGGTAAGCAGAACGGGCTTGGGGCGATGAAGAGCTGGTGATGGAGGCAGGCAGACTCGTTCAAGGCGTGGAGAGAGGTCAACTACGGTGTCAACAGGAGGCCGACTCAGGTGCCGACAGGAGGCTGACTCATGACTGAAGGTTACAACGCCACCAGCCCAGGTGGCGGTTGTAGGTTAGGCCGGCGTAGCAACCTCCAACGTAGAAGAAAGAGATGATGGCGAAGAAAAGATAAGAAGACAAAAAAAGGAAGAAGAAAAGAAAGAGAAGGAGGGGAAAAGAAAAGAGAAAGGGAAAATTTCAATTTTTTAATTTTGATTTATGAGGCTTCAAAGTAAATTGACTATCTTACCCTTTTTCATCAAGGATTTTTTTAAGGGAACAGAACAATGAGTGAAAAAGTGTCGTTTTGATACTTAACGGAGGAGAGTGTCGTTTCGCTAAACCTTTAACTGGGAATATGTCGTTCTCCCTAATAATAATTATGAATGCTCTAGAATTAGCTGGCTTATATCATTTTTTTATAGAGCAAACGGCACATTAATATTTTGATTAGGTGCGTACCTGTGGTGAGCCGAACACCATAAAGTATAAGCCTTTAATTGGATGGTTAGCCAAAGCCATTTTCTCGACGGGCCCCATCATATTTGTGATTGCCATGCTCGAGTTGTTGAGCGTGCGATAGACATATTTAGCTGCTGCCTGCAATGCATATATATATATAGCATTAATCTGGCAATTTATGGTACTTTGAGGGAATAAATAATAAATTAATTAAGTTAAACATATGTATACCTCAGGGCCTCTAAATTTCTTCACCATGTCCAGGAGCCTAGCAGTGAGGTAAACACCGAATGAACTCCGCTTACCCTTGATTATTTCATGTGCTTTCTTGATGAATTCCAGGGGATTTGAAAGCTCAGCATCAGTTAACTTGGGTATCGGCATTTGCAAAGTTGCAAAATGGTTTCCCCATGGTGATTTGGAGTCAGGTTTAAGCATCTCCTTCACTGAACTGTAACTCCTTAACATCCTGATGTTTAGCATCAAAACTGCTGTAGAATCCATATTACTTGACTCCTGGCTAACCGATTGCATGTATAACCGAGTCCCCAAGAAGATTACTCCAGTAATAACATCGTTTACCGACTGTGTCATATGTAAGGGAAATTAAATATAATTTGCAGTCATATTATGAAACAAAATAGGGGTAAAGAGAAAAAGAATGTAGCCAAAATGGAATGTTAATAAATTTTAGAGATGAAATTGATGTATGTCAACTAAAATTGAAAATTTAATTTTGCTGAAGGTTTAAGCTATATATCATCTGTCCTGAGAACGATACTTTGGGTTCCTAAACTATTCTTAAGTTCATGTAATTTACTAAATGTGAATGAACAATAAAAATTCAATTATAACTTGACATTAGAATGGGCCTCAATGTAAGTATCCCCAACGGCCCAACCCCAATTGGTTAGAGCCTTTTCAGTGAAGTCATTTTAGAGTAAAGGTCCTTGGAAAGTATCATTTAATAATGTGTTTGTGCACAGGGAAAGTAGGGTAAAGTGTGGGATAAGCGTGAAAAAAATTGTCATAAAAGAAGTGAAACCGCTGTATTAATACCTAATGTAATTTCAGTATTATTCTAAAGATATAATTAATAATACATTTAGACCAATTTTAAAACATTACAAATTATAATTTCTTATTTATGATATTGTATGAATATAAATAGAGTGGTGTACAATATAAACTACTATATAAACTCTTGTATACAAACTATTGTCACATCATTTATCTATATTAATAGTATTTATTGAATTATTTGTATATAATTCATCATTGTCTTGTGTCATATAAGATTATAGGAAAGAGTTGTACATATGAAAATATTTTCTAAAAGAAATTAATCCATTAGGTTTCCGCACCCTCTTATTATGCGGCCATCCAACTACCGTACAATTATTATCTTGAAAGTTATGCCAGTTAAACTTTCAAGATAGGCGGCAGCAAACAAATGTCTCCTCAGCACATCATCAAAACTATAATTTACTCCTGCTTAGTGATATTCGAGTTTTAGTTTTGACCATCAATCAACAAACTTTTCGCATAATATTACTGAAATTTTAGTCAGATAAGTACTAAAAACTTGCTATATACATTTATATACTTACCAATCCAAGCTTTGTCTTAATGCTTGATTTGATAAAGAGAGAATTATTGTTGATATGCTCAATGGTCCATACCCCACTCGATGCTGCCGGATCGTATAGGCGTTTGTCGATCTTTAACCAGACTGCTCTTCAGGCTCCGACAAAAATCTGTAGTAGAATAAATATTGAAGACAAAATTTTAGGCACATTCCTGATTAAGCCATTGTCGCCATTTTCGCTCGAAATTATTGGTTGTGTTTGACAGAAGGAAATGTCACGGAAGAGAAGGATCGTCGGCTCTTTGGAGACATGAAAGAAGAGCTCCCATCAAAGAGAAGCCATCACCAAGTGCATGGTGAAGCTTGAAATATAGTACCAGCTGATTGCATGTGGGTGATTTAAAGAGGTGAATTTCCCATAAAGGTCGGTGCTGTGCAAGCGGTTCTATGCCTATTTTTGAGATTAGTCATGCTGGCATTTTTCAAAATTCTGGTGTCCTTTCGGTGGGAAAATAGGAGATTTTACGTGGTCTTTCAGCTGCACTTCAACCTTCTTCCATTGTTTAACTCCATTTTTGTCAACCTGTTTAAGAAGTGTTCCACACTACTTCAACGTATGATAACAATAAATCATAATTCATAAATTGTTTAGCAAAAGCACTTTATGAAGAGTTATCAGGATTCGACTAGAATAGAGAAACAACTATATTTCTTTCAACGGCAAAGCATAAAATTATTTAAGAGTCATTTATTGTTCGGAGAACAAATATTTAACAATGAAAGCGATGGGGCCTTTTAGTTTATAATAGAAAATTAGCTATAATAAACTCTCACACGCGTATATAGGCATTACCATGATGGACGAAAAGCGCGGGTTAATGGGGAGGAGCATATTTTTGAGCAATGGGATAGTTTGGGAGTCATCAATGGGCACTTCTGTTTCCAGAACACCAATAACGACAATGGACAACACTGAGCTATTGAAATATTGCGCAATAGGGCTCACAGGCACAGGCACTGGTTCTTCTTCGGCAGCCACTATCTTGAATGACTCCATAGCTGTGCTTTTGTTTCTTGTGTTGAGCCTGTATGTTTTTCCACTGAGCAACAAGACTTTATATCAACAGCAGTTAAATAAGGGCATCAACCACTAAATAAAAATCAATAAAGGGCATTCAATATCTGGCTTCTGTTTTCACTCTTTACATATTATAGTTCATCCAGAAGTAGGCCATAAGCCCATAACTATTCTTGACCAAGTGTCTTCAAGTAATTGCCCCATGGGTCATTATTTCTCGGAGTCTCAAATGTAACCACTTTAGTTGTCTGTTTGAACTGATGATTAACGCACAACCTTTCGGGTTAAGTGATGGGGAGAGTTACAATTTCCCACCCAAGGTTAGATATACATTCTACCCAAAAGGTTTCAGAAAAACAATTTCCCACCCATCGATAAGATTCCTATAGTGAGATATATTACCTGACATGTTTAAACCTACGAAAAGACTATAATACCTTTTACTAGTTGACTTTATAATTTTGAATGAGGTTGAATAATTTTTTCCACCCAAACTTTATTAAATATATTTTTCACCCCTAGTTTAGTTTATATTAATTTTAGGGTTAATAAATTTAAAAAACAAACTGAATTATTTAAAATAAATTGTGGACTGGCCATGGTTGCCAACGAAAGTCAATGTCATTGGATAGATCGTAGGTCAATCTATCCAATGACACTGACGATGTGGTTGGACTCGTCGTCGAGACTGAACCCATATTCTGTCGATGACAGTTGGCCGACGTACACGTCGGCCAGTTTTTATTCTTCATAGATTTTTTTTAGAACTTAAATAAAAAAAATTGAAATTAGAGATGGGGGTTTAAATGGTTAATTCCCAAGTTGGTGAATATCATTGTCATGCGTTTGTAATTTAGGGGTGTAAAAACAGTAACCCTATAATAAATTGTGTGCAAACCGACAAGAATGCCATTTTACCGTTAAAAATAATGTTCACTTTGAACAATGGGTGGAAAATTGTTTTTTTTAAACCTTTCAAGGGGAAAAAATTATTTACGCCTAACCTTGCGTGGGTGGAAAATTGTCACTCTCCCAAGTCCCAAGTGATACAGTGAAACCGAGCCATCAGTTGATTAATTTGTTGGTTGCTGACATGATAGGATATGATTTAAATTTATAAATTAAAACTTAATGTCTAGACATGATCATAAATCTGAGCATGCACCAATGTCCGATACAATCCAAGCCAAAGCTGCAACTGCGCCCATGTAGCAGTAATTAAGACGAACGTTGCACTTGAAGAGCGAGCCAACTGATAATAATAAGACAGAAATAAAAGGTAATATCACAAACGCTGGAAGAGCCGCGACTTGCATAAAGAGCACATGAAGAAGACAAAATTATAATCGACATAGATAAATGAGGAAATTCTGGATACGTAAGGCAAACATAGATTTGGAGGAAAAAATTGGTGAGAATAAATATTGTAAATGAGATCATTATCAGTTTATTCTGAAGCTAGGTTTGGCTGAAGCTCTGCTCTTCCAGTCAAACCTTACCTTATATTGAGCCACTTCACCATAAATATTTTTAGTAAATGAAATCATTATCAGTTTAATATTGTAGTGTCTTAAGAGAGAAAAACAAAATTTGAAGCAATTATAATCTCATGAATTGAGTTAATAGGCTAATGAGTCCCCTTCTTTTTGGCACTGTACCTCCCAATCAAATTCGTCGTAACACTTATAGTGATCAATTATACAAAGATCTCATTCGAGTCCAAATGCTCGTAGCATTTGTCCTGACAAATACCAATTTAAAGCTTCTCCTCCACCAATAATGCCTACTCCTTCAACACATTCTGTTCCGAGTAATAAGTTTTTCATATTCACTATATAAATTTTTGAAAAACAAATACTATGTTTTAGTTATTTTATTATATATGTATATTTGTATGAGATTTCGGAGAATAGTGTTCCCTAATACCTGTTTTTTTTTTTTTTTTTTTTTTTTTTTAACTTTTAATGAGACTTGAGCTTTTAATTAATTGCCTAGTTAGTAAATACGCGTATAAAACACGTATTTACGTATTTTATAAAGGATTGTCGAATTATTTGCGAATTATTGGAGTATCCGTATAATTCATGAATTATTCGTGAATTTTTCAAAAAAAAAAAATTGAAACGACATCGTTTTAGTGGGGAAGAAGAAGTCAGTGGTAAGGCATGAGAGAAGAGATTGGAAAAGGGGGGGAATAGAAAAAACTAACCCGCTCAAAGACATCCACTTTCCCGCCCATTCCCCCACACCTAACACCTTTACATTTTAAACTCAAAAGTAATATGGAGATTTCACGTTTTCACCTACCTCTTTTGTATTCATTTTGTGAAGAATAATTTTCTTGAATTAAATAGTAATTTGCTTAATTATAATATTGAGTCAAAACACATTTCATATTTTAAATTATTTCCATGCTATCTAATAAATTAGATTGGATTAATGAAATTAAAATAATAATTTATTATAAAAAAAAACTGTCATATATTATAGGTATAAAATAATAGTTAGACTATTGTAACACTAATCTTTTATATAGATTTGTGAGACAAAATTTTAGTTTTTGATTTAAATAATTTAATGGATTAATGAGAAGTTAAAATTAGTTGCATTTAATATCAAATTTATCAAGTTTTAAATTAGTAAAGAATCATGGCTAAATATTGTGTTTGAGTCTAGAAACTATAATTTAAATATCAGTTATATATTGTATATTTGTGTTATTGGTTAATTGAATACTTTACATTTGAAATACTATATTGATTTTAGTTAAGTAATCCATAAAAGTATTAAAACTAAGATTGATATTGCCGTATTTTTTAAAACGTATTATTGACAATGCACCATATTAAACCCGTATATACCCGTACCATATTTTTCTCGTATCTGAATTTTATGACTGAATTTTTATAAATGTATTTTTTACTGTTTACCATATTATATCCGAAAAAATTCTTG